GAAAGAAAGAGTAACAAAGAGATTGCGAATCATTACGAGACCTCCTTTCCATCCTCTCGCAATCCTTTCCCTTCCGTGACTCCCGACTGCATCAATCACCCATTCCTGCCAGGAATTTGTACGAGAAAAGCAGCTCACCCCTTCTCTTTCCGTTTCTCCAATCCGACCCTTTCCCTCATTGTCTGCGATAGAATGGAGTGAGCGAGCGATGAGTTTTCTGTTTTAGGAATTTTCAGGAACACCTTGCTATACGATTGTCACGATAAGTAGTAGTTTGTTTCGATTGATATATCGGTTAACCGTCATCGTTCGGATTCAATGAACAGCGAGAAATTGTTCTGATATATAACGCGATCTTTTACATCATTCTACAATACAATCCTTTGTTACATAATCTTGAAAATTAACGGGAAAGAGATAAAGAGATAGAGAAGATTTGAATTTATCAACATCGCTCTTACAAAATAAAGCATTGTTTTAGATAATTAATTCTATAAGGAAGAAATGAAAGATTCATATAATTAATTATTTGTATGTACGTAAAGATTTTATGTATGCACTGCATGATATATTTTATAAATATATTTTGATAATAATTGCTGATAATAATTCATAAATCATATTGAAAAAAAATTTTAATACCAATCTTAAATTTAGTTACAATAATAACATAATATTTATATAATATATTTATATAATATATTTATATAAATATTATATTATAAATGATGAACTAATTGTATAATTTTTACAAAATTAAGTAAGTTACACGTCAATCAATTACACGTCAGTTATGGTTTATTATTAGCGTAAATTTTAATGAGTTATTAAAAAATACATATCTATATATTTTACATAAATGGCCAAGATATATCATATCACTTTTAAATCAGATAACGAGATCGCGTGTCCAAATCTCACAACTCAATCTCGCATGCAACTATTAGACGTACAGTGGTGAGAATAATCTACTTTTCCACAAGTGCGTATGGTATTATGTCGTTCAATAATCGGAAACCGCCACTTCCTACGAGACTACATCGATCATTCTCTCTATTGTTCGTAAGACATTAATGTTAGCGATTGTTTCTCATTATGCAGAACTTGAATTAATAAACGGTAGATTGTATCAAGAATTTTTGTTGAATATTATTTCAATAACGAAAAACCACAGAAATTTCTATTAAACATTAATTAAAATTGTTTCAAAAGTAATGTCTTGCTATTTACCTATATTGAAATTTAATTTATAATAATAACTTTTAGCAAGATAAATTTAATTAAATTTTAAATATTATTATATTAATAATATAAATATTATTATATTAATAAATTAATTATTATTATATTAATAAATTAATAGAAAAGCAAATTATAAATTATTCAAAAATATGTTAAAAAATAATTTTAAATGTATGAATATAAAATTTTATTTTGTATGTTTTAATATTAGTATAGAAAATTATTTGCACTTGTATACATTTCATGTTCTTGTCATAGCGATAAATAAGTAGAGTAATAAATAAGCGAATAAATCAGCAATAAATCAATAAAATTATATCATTTAATCTGTACTACAGATTGTAATTATCGAGTGTGAGGTTGATTGAAACGTACCGATTCGGCCAATTAGCAGTTTAATGAACCGAATAAACCGGCAATAATTAGTACGATTTTGCAGCTTCGAAAAATTTGCAAGCGATTTATGCGAAGATTATGAGTGCCGATAACAGATACTTAAACGCACTTTATTTTACATTTATATTTTACTTACAAGTACAATCGGTGAATAGTCGCCTACTGCGATCGTACGAACGACATGAGTGGAAAGGACGATAACGATTAAGTATGCGAATTTCTAGTTTGATTACTTCGATGATATATCACGTTCTCAGAAGATTGCGTTTTAATAATTGACTTTTTTCCACCTGTTAATTCCACATTAACGACGGGATACCTTCGACGGAACTCTTAGAGAAAGATTAGTTTTCCGCTATCCGTTTGATGGATGCAAAATGAATCGTTCTAGGTAAAGTTACCTTTTCTTTTCTATTAATCACACTTAAGATTATAATCTTTCTTTTATTTGTCTTTGCAAAACTTTGTATGTATACTTTGTGTATAAAAATGTGTGTGTATTTGAAATAGCTGGATTATTTTTAAAAATGTGTGTGTATTTGGAATAACTGGATTATTTTTAACTAATTAATTAAAAAATTAAGGAAAAATTTTAATAAAAACTGTAACCAATATTTTCTTAAACCTACTTGATATATTTTAATTTATGTCAGACTTTGAGAGGAGGAAAATAGAATTTTATTTATAATTTTATATGTAATATATTTTAATGTACATAAATATAATGTATATGTATGTATGTTTTATACATATTATTTTTATATTTCAATTTATTTGCAATATATTTTATATACAAATTTTTCAAATTTTATTTATATTGTAAAAAATCATAAGTTTAATTTTATGTATATCTTAATTTATACAAATTATGTATCATTTAATTGATATAAATTATATATTATTTAAAATAAGCTTAACATAATATTTTATTAGAAATTTTTATTTTCGAAAATGTAGTTATAAAAAAATTTATAGAAAATGATTAATATTTGATATTGTTAAATATATTGTGATATTATGTTTTTGGAATGTATTGAGTTTTAGGGGATGTGTTAGTCTTTCTCTGCTATAAATTCCAGTCGCATTCTGAAAAGTCGAGGAAGCAATTTACTGAATATCTTCACTTTTACTCGAATCACGATGGTACACACTACGTGGTCCATGGTCGACACGGATTATCACACATGTTTTGATCAAGAAGTGAAGTGTAACTCGACAGGGGATGTAACTGGTAGGGGTAAAGGCTATATAAGAGAACGCACATCTGATTGGATTTTATAGTAGAGCTAAGTCCTTTGTGTGGTGTCTATATTTTTTATAAATTTGCAACATGGTAAGTATGTTTTTGCTGTTTAGATGTTTCTACTTTAATAATACATTTTATTTTTGGAGAATACAGCATTATGTAACTGCCATTGGAAAAGAAATGCATAACTTCACTGACGAAGAAAAGAGGAAAACAGAATTTTATATTAATTTTAATAATTAATATATAAAAGAATCATAAATATAAAAATCTTGCGAAAAACTTACTTTTAGAAAAATATATAAAATAAACTAATTTTTGCATAACAAAATAAAAAAAAATTGTATTGTTATCTTCGTCATCGATGATGCATCTTATTAAAATGAAAAAAATATCTGAAATAATATTTCAAAGTTCTCTTATGAATTTCTAAAAACGCAGAGTTTTTTTCTTGATATATGGCTGTTATATGTGCCTAAAAATTGATTTAAAGATAATAAAAAAAGATGAGAGAGGGGGAAAAAGAAATGTACGTGTGTGTATGTGATGATACGTGTTCGGAGGGGAGCGACTCGCCCCGCCGATGGCGGGACAACATAATCTATATAAGAGTGGTCCATGCCGGATGTTTGACCCAGAACTTCGCGTGCAGTGAAAGTGTGCCCGGTGCAAACGTTTTTGCCGGAAACGATAATGGTGAACGCACAATATAATTAGCCACTAAAATGCGTTAAACGCTTTGTTATTGAATAAACCGCATTATTATTGCGTATTATTTATTAGAGATTATTAACTTTTTTACTACATTGCACTATATATCTACAAATTGACTATGTTATTTTTAACTACTTATTCATAATTGCATGGAAAATAAGCGGAAGACTTCTTGAATAATTAATTTTATAATTTTTATTGAGCCATATTAAAATTTATTGAGTTTAATTTTCAGTATAATTTTTTTAAACATTTAAACATAATGATACGTTGCACATGTATTAAGAAAGCAATTAATTTTTTTATTTGCAACACGTACCAATCATTTTGTACTTTGAAGTCATTAGTCAAATTTATACTTGGAAGTTTATAGATTATTGCAGGTTTGCACAATTGAGTGATGAATTAAAAAAGGAGATAAATGAGAGAGAGATCAGGGTGAACCGATGATTAACAGTAATTTGAACTTTCTCTTTCGGTTACAGAAAATCTATTTAATATTGGGTCTGCTGTTAACGGCGGTGTGTGCCGAGAAGAAAATTAATTTGGAAGATATAGAGAGAGATAATCTGAGGGCGGAGGGTAAAGCCAAGGTCGAGAGCATTCAGACTGATGAAACGAAATATGCCATTAAATCCAATCAACAGCAGTATCAAATACCAAACCAATATAGTACTTTGGGTAATTCGGAACCGTACATTCCACCTCAGCAACTGCAGGATATAAAATATACCGTAAGATATTGATTAAACATTGAATTTCAAAAGTTTTTTCTTATTTTTAAGTATCTTCTGAAGGATTTGTACTGAAAGTTATTACAAATATTTTTATAATTATATAATGACATATGCACATATATATATATATATACATAACATATAATAAATAATATTAAAACAAATAGATACTCTCATATAATAGAAATTTAATTTTATCAGTTGTATAAAATAATGAACATTATTTGTTAAAGCTTCTTTCTTATTTGTTTGTCATTAGCAAGTGCCACCCGAAGAATACATTCAACCCAATCCATATTCTGTAAATGAAGCACAATATAATCCAAGCCAAATTCTGCCACAGCAAAATATTCAGCCAATACAATATTATGGTGGATATCAACAACAAGTAGAAATACCAACGAAAGGCATTGCCTTTGAATCTCAGAAATTAAATTATCAACCGGAAATTGCAGTGGGTAATCACATTCAAAGTGTTCAACAGAAAGCAGTTACGGAAAAATATACAAAAACTATTAATAAAGGTAAAGATTATGAAACACTTCTATTGCTATGTATATGTATAATTTTATAACAGAATAAAAATATTATTACACTATTTAAAAATATAAAATCAATAATAAAATTTTGTAATGTCTATTGTTTGAATCAAGAAAAAAAGCGTTTACTAACATAAATAAAATATTTATTCTGATAATTATTGAAAGGAATGATATGAAATATTTAATTATACTTTTTAATTTTGCAGAACCTCTTTACATTGATGTTCCGGTGACACAATTGCTTTCTTATTATCCTCAATTGAATATTAATCCCTTAGTAGGTTTAAAAGGTGCCGAATTGGCGCAACCTCCGTTACAGCTAGCGACTAATATAGCTCAACCAATTTCCATACCTGTATATACCCCCGTATATAATCAAAAACAATTGGTCCCTTCTGTAAAACAACCTTATCCCACGGTCGGGCCAATAACATTCACGACCAAGGTAAATTTAATTTGTGTGAATACAATATTTTATAGATATATATTTTTTGTTTTTATGCAAATTGTTACATAATAACAATATTATAATTTAATATGATGTAAGAGAGAAAATCGTTGAAGTTTCTTTCTATCCATCGAACAGATTTATGAATGTGTCAAATCAAACATTTTAAATTTATTTCATGTTATTTTTTTATCTTGTTTATTACACAATCTTCAATATTTTAGGCGCCGAAAGGATCGTCTTATACAATTCCAATTGCATCAAAGAAAAAGATCAATTCGACTCCCTTGTTGACACCCCCCTTGTACGTCCAACCCCAGCAGCCGTTAAATCAAGGAAAAACTCTGTTACATACGCAAGCTTACGTCACATCCCCGCAACCGCAGTATGTGCAGCAATTAGTTTACACGCAGCCTGGCATAGTTTACAATGATCCCGCTGCTGCTTATAGCGATCTTTATGCACGTTTACCAGCTTATATCCAGGATAATTTCCTCCGTGGACAAGTGAATCAATATCAAACACAGCAACAATTATACACCACGCCGATAATCTCTCAAGCCGAAACGCCAAAAGAAGTCTTGCAGGAACAGGTCAATCAAGATATATCGCAAAATTATAACAAGGTTTGTATAGACTAAAATAGACTCTAATATCACATGATATTTCACTCAGCATGATTTATAGCTTGCGTGACTACGTTACATTTATCAGAAATCGGTGTTTTGTAATGGAAATGACAGTTTTACATAACTATCACTTTATTCGCTGGCTCGTAATTAGAGATTTAAATTAGTATCGTTAACGGAGTAACATGTTAGTTAATTAGCATAGATTAATTACCTTCTTTACTGTGCCATGCACTATATGCTGTTTAGAATATTTATTTTCTATTGACACTTTTATTTTATTTTAATGGAGAAAAGGACATATTTGTTTCAAAAAAATTCGATCTTTGTGAGAATATCTTCATGCAAAAAAATATAAACATTTTTTCACTTTTAACAATTTTTTCGTTTTATTGAAATATACGATATTTTAAAATATAGAAAATAAAATACGTTCTACACTTTTTTAATTTTTTTTACAAATATATTTGCAATATCCTGGAGGATTGTTTGCTTAGAATTCCCTTATCTCGTTCCATGTAACATAGAAGCAGTAACTTTATTCTGTGTTTCCGCGAACAGGTGCCCGATGAGCCCAAAACTCATTTCGTACCGCCTCAGTTCCCTCCACATGACTTCAAAGCCGGAAGTGCACAACTGGAGCCTATTCGGGGCCCCTTCGAAAACGAGCAGACTTTGCCAGTACAAGATCATTCATTTCCTTCGGAGCCGAGGTCGCTACTTGACACGTACATTCCGAGCAAAGTCATTGCCGCGCAGGACACCGCCAGGTATGGTAGCGTGAGTAATGAGAGTGCCAGAGTGTCTTATTACTGTAATTATCTATCATAACTGTACCATCATAACTATACCATTAGGTACAGAGAAAGGCCGATAAAGCTGGAAGGGGGTTTCCTCCCGTCGAAAGTGAACTTTGCTCCTAAGAAGCGCAAGTCTGAGTGACGAGAATCGCTATGAGCGACATGACGATTGACGAATGTCATACACACAAGGGTCAGTACAGCTTGAAAACTTGATTACTAGCGATTATACGACGATCGAGGCATATGCGGACATCTAGGATGTATCATCTGAACAGATCGACGGTATTATCGCATCTAGTCTTTCATCGAAGATCATGCGAAACCTTTTTATACTGTTCTCTTTTACATTTGTAAAGACGCGCCTAATGAATAAACGGCAAATACTTTGTTTATGATTTTTCAATAAAATTTTAAATAAAACATGCAACTAGTAACACCTTTCCTTCACATACCGTTTAAAATAAAATACAAAAACTTTTTATGGAACTTATTAAGTATTCATATGTATGCATATTTTATTAATTTATGTAATTATAACATAATTATAACTAATACCTTTTTATTTAAAAATTATTGTTTTTATACATTACATTGTATAAAATATCGCGCATATAACAACAACCATAAATTTTAATTGTTATTATTCTACTTATCTTATTATTATATTTACTTGTGAGCAACTTTTTGAATAATGTTTGAAATTTTATGTAAGCTTATAGACATCAGAACAGTCTTTTATATTAATTCTTGTACTTAGTTGTTCTACTTAATTTATTAAAAGCATTATTATATAACATGATCGGACAATAAACTTTATTCATATCATAAATTCTTTAGAAATGGCAAGCATTTCTGATGTTATAATCCCAAATTTATTTTATAACAAAAAATTGCAGAAACACGTAAGAATATTAAATGTCTACAAAGTGTACTAAAAAATTTCGATATTAGAAAAATAATCAATATATATTATATAAATTAATCAAATTATTAAATCACGATAAAATATAACTGTGTTATGTTATTAGTGTATGCGATAAGACCACGTTTTTATCTTCTACGGTTACGAAAGAGATAATATATACTGAATAGCGAGCCACTATCATGACTCTTAATTACTTATTACATGACATTATTAGACGTATGATTTATATAACGCTGTAAGATTTTTATTAATTATCCATCGAACATGTAAAAACGATAAAATTATTTATAGATGGTCAACATGTTTAATAAGTTTGCATGAGATTAGCTGCTCAGCTCTAACAGTTTATGATAGTTTACGATGTAAGTTGAGGTAGATTATATTGACATCGAAACGCAGTGAACTATTGGAGGTATGTCTAATGTCGAGGAACATACGTATGCAAGTATCTTACTGTACGCGAGCGGGATACATCAACAGAGAGTCCACGAGAAAGCTGACGCCACGGAGATGAGCCCAACGGTGTAGACGCATGAAATTAACCGCATGAAATTTTGATTGCTACTTTGTTACTAATCTCGTTGAGCACGGAACGCTTTCTTTTTCTGTAAATGTATAATTTACTGGAATTTTCCGCGGATATGTTGGAATCTTCCTCGATATGTTTCAACGGAAGTGGAAGCGACACGCCATCGTGCGTTTCGTGCATCTCTGGTCTTATTGTAAGACATTTTTGCGGCGAGTGGGGCGATGAATAAATTACTACTAGAGATCGCTAAAAGTTCTATATCACGTGAGATTACGAACTCTACGAACGATTTTGCGATCCACGGCATCTCATAGTTACATAGATTCTTTATTCAGATATCTGGAATTTTCCGGTTAGCCTGAGTTATAACGCAACACGCATACGTTTATTTGCGTAATGCAAAAGGATGAAAAAATTTATGATATCAGTGCGTCGATCTGTCAGACGACGTCGCTACGCTACTGGCAGGTGTCTTCCCGTATCGAACGCGAATAGCATTCGTCTCGCTGTGGTGAAACTATAATGATGGTGTCCTTCTCACACCAGGAGCGAGGGCATATAAGGTGGGATGTTCTGGCCTCAGCTTCATCAGTACCAAACACACACGACAAGTCCACCAAGCTAGCAGGTTTAAGGTCGACCGTCATGAGATTTGCTAGGATCTATGTAAGTACTTGAAACAAAATGCTTCGTGTACTTAGCACTCTTCTCTTTTCTCAAGCCTTTCTTCCATTTTATTAATTGGTAACATAACTTATTACATTATTATGATGTAGTACATTTTAATTGTATTTTCGTGTAGCAATTTGTTTGTAAATTTTATTGTAATTTATAAAACTGTTAAATTGACTGTTAAATATATGACTGTTAAATTTCTCTTTTTATTTATATTATTTATATTTTATTTATAATGCATTTCTTCTTATAGGAAAAGATATATATTTTCCTGAATCTTGTTATTCGTAAAAAACAATTTAAAAACACAATTTTCACTTTATACATATACTTTCACTACTTTTAACATTTTTTACAAATAATCTTAGAATAACATTTTATAATTGCAATAACGAAATAGCAGTAATTGCGATAAACGTTACTAATATAATTATATGCAATTACGAATCAACAACCGCATGTTGACTTCAGTGCGGACAACATATAATTAGTAGAAATGGCTCTCGTGGAATCTCGCGGTTGTAGCTGTTGTATCTAAATTTAATAATCCCTCTGATTGAAGTTTTAATGCCGAAAATCCGTCGGAAATATTTTAACGGTAACGCACCGCTCGTGCACATGCCACTGCCATTTTTCACAACAGCTCCAAAAAATCTTTTTTCTCCCGGTCGGATAAAATGCTTCCTGGACTCGGCCGGACGTAATTGCGGTGAAAGTGCCTTGCATTTTTCTCCGATCGCGGTCCATACACGAAGAAATGGCGATAAAATATCCACAGCAGATGCTCTTGAGTAAGCCGGTGAAAGTCCACACGGAGAATGAGCCACGCATCATCTTTCGATTCGCCATGGCGAAGAGTCCCAAACGCACTTTTCGGTATTAGGTAACACAGCAGTTTTGCATCGATATAACATGGACGCCGGCGAGGTACGCGTGAAATTCAACATCTTCTCAATTGCGACACGTCGCTCGCATTTTTACAACTCCGTCACCGCCAATTTCGAGTTGATTGATGAGCTGACAAAGTGGTCGCGGTTGGCCACTTTCGACGCGCTGCATGTGCATCTATTTTCATTGCATGTCGCGTGCTGAATATTTATTGGATCATTAATGCCAAAATTTGGAAGCAATCCGGTATAGTTGTTTTAGGAAAGCGAAAAAAACTTTGATTGATTAGATTAGTTTAAATATGTGCCGCTATGATATGCCGTTATGATGTGCCGCTCATTTAAAAATAAATGTGATATATGAATTTTAAAGATTTGAATGCTTACATAAATAACGTAAGCGAGATATCATATAAATTATTCATATTTTATTTGTAATAATTGAATTTTATGTTTAATTCATTTTCACTTTAATATTTTTAATTTTTTAATTTGTAAATTTCTGAATTTCTCTCGAGCTAAATTACATGTTTTACGCATCTTTATTTAGACTATTTATAATTTTTTTTATCTAATCTTAATTAATATCTTATTATAGATAATAAAATGATTTAATGTAAAACCAATATTTAAGTATTTAAAGTTATTAGTAAATTTTTATAGATAAACGATTTAAATTTTTATTGCTCATGTGGAAAACGATATTTTCAATCATCGTTATTTATAGAATGCAATGTTGACGTTTAAAGAAAGCGGTGAAAATCGCAAGTGCACGACGAATGAAACTCGTTTTAATGATATTGATCGACACACTTGATTCTGACCCTAGAGGAATATCTTTCCGTCTCTTCAGTTTTGTTTCCTCTTAAATGCAGTTATGTGCTCGTTATCTTTATAATTACACACATAACCGAATTATTATAAAAATTCTTTTATGGAACATCTGATTAATATATCTTTTTGAAAACATATTACGGGAAAAAACCAATCCGGAATAATTTAATCGGATTTTCTTCGGGGCGATCATACATGTTTGAACAGGGAAGGGAAGTGAAAGTGAGATCGCCATTGCCGGAGATCGATGACTAATACATTGTCACATGGTCTCTGGCACGATTTCTCATAAATGCCCCTGACTTTCAGATCGTCGCATTCTTATTGGTGCACGCGCTCTGCAACGCGGAGACTGCCGGAAATAGAGAGATCAAGGTGAACGACTCGGATAACATTGAACGTCGTCCCGTTATCGAAGATGCTGCAGATGTTGAGGACGCTGATAGCGGAAGCGAAGAGGAAAAGGAGCAGGAGAACGTTGAGGAGGTCCTGCCGATTTTACCACCGATAATACTATTAGATTTTGATAACGGCACCATCGATAATGCAACTGGAATCGACGAGAAATCGAAGCGCACCGTGAACAATGACTTCGGATACGGTTTTGATCGGAACTCCCTGCTGACTCCGAGAAAATACAATTATTATTTTCCCGCGGGAAAGACCGGAACCACCGTGAGCATAGAGGAATCTATCAGCCCATTTCTCCCGAGGACAATAATTGAAAAAATACCGTCAAGTAGTCAGAAATTGATTTCCAACTCGTTCGCAGATCTCGGACAACACGGATCGTATAGGGCGCGCGGCTCGACGGGATCACATCCCACGAGTTATCAGTATTACAATTCAATGACGAAGTCATCGCCAGTATTTGGATTGCGAACAAAATTGATGAAGACGTCCGATTCTGAACCTTACCAGGGATTCTTGCCGATTACGAGACCCTCCGTCGAGGCGTACTCAAACGTGGATTATCAGGAGGGCAGGTATGCCTCCACAACGCCGCAATCTTTGGAATTCAGTGCCACAGAGACAGCAACGGCGGGGGGTTTCGTCACTCCGAGTCCGCAGAGTTACACGGCCTCCAGTTCGAGCCGATATACCTACGTCACGCCGAGTCCGCCGTCGTACATTCAAAGATATCTCGGGCAGAGTTCACAGCACGTGGCAAACGTGCAGAGTTACCCCAGACAGGCGCACAGCGCTGTGAAATCTTCGACATCGCAGCCTCTCGAGGCTGCTGCTCTTGTTGCCGATCAGCCGAATTATACTCGATCAGGCTCGAACCACGCGGTGGAATCCTCAACGTCTGGATCCGACGAGGTGCCCGGTTACTCGGAGAACACCGGACAATTCGCTAACCTGCCTCGATACACGGTGGAGAACGGCGTTAAATACGAGAATAAAATATTCTGGAAGTATCCGGATGGCAGAGTATCCGACGTACCGCCTATGACGTACGAGACTTACTCTGAGTACCCATCATTGGCCGCGTTACAAGCTGCTAGAAACCAAGATTCATCGCAAACCTACGAGTCCGTCTCCACAGAAAACAGCGTGTTGTCGCAGGGTCCAGTACAGTTCCCGATGGCACCGGAACCTACCGGTTCACGAACCCCATTCATCTCGGCTAATTCTTTGTCTCGCTTGCAGCAGCAGCAGCAAGCGTTTCGGTTGGGTTATCAGAACTTTATCGGCCAAAAGCAGGCAATTTCGCAGCAGACCAAAGCAAGCAGCGGAGTCTCACCTACATACTCGGTCTCTTCGACAACCTTATCACCGCGAAATTCTCTCAAATTAAATGGGAAAAATCCAAAAAATCGATATGAGACGCTATCAAGACAACCGATCTCGAAATATATGATAAATAGTCCGAATCCGGAATACTTTAACAATCCAAAGCCTACCAGGCCTTTTGTTCCATCAGGTGAGAATACTTCATGTTTTATTGAGATATATGTCGCGATAGCGTGATTACTTAGGAATTCTTCTTTCAGCTGGCGGAAACTCGGCAAAAAAGATGGCGGCAGGCAACAAGAATTTGGACGGTTACTCGAATTTACAGTACTCGGACTTACTGAACTATAACCCATCCATCTCGCAGTATATAAAAAATCCCGCGTCTATCCTCAATGTGCAACCAACCTTTGTACAAGCCGGAAATTCCTTGATACCCGTTATTATTCTGAGAGTAGATGGTGTGCCGCCTATACAACCTAAGGCTACGCCAAATGTGAATTTGAAGGCTCTTCTGCAGCAATATTTGATTCAGTATGCCAAAAGTATCGAAGAATTGGCGCGACAGTCTAATTACGATCTTGGCGACGATCAATCTTCGAAGGATCAACATTCATTTTCCACGAGTCCTCTGCATGAACTGACGCGACTGGCATCAAATGGTGGCACTCGAGATTTGCTCGGTAATCCTACAGAATCCTACATTGGCAAATCGAGTTATGAAACAAGCAATCTAGATATCGAAAAAGATCCTTCGAGCGGAAGGTATGGCGAGCGCACGGCGACCCGGCCAAAAGTGAAGAGCGTACAGATTATAGAAGATCCAAGACTCGCAAATCATAGGATTTGAAACAAAATTGCACGTATATCGTAAAGAATAGAAAGCTGCGGAGATATGCTTTGATTTTTGTGTCTTATTGCTGAAGAATTGCCTTTAGATATTTTATATATATTTAAATTAATTATATCCATTTTGGGATATATAACTATCAAAGAAATAAAAATTTTAAAATTAATAATTTTGCAGATAATTAATAAAATATAATTCTATTTAAAAAATATATTAATAAAATATGATTCTATTTAGGTTTAAAAAATATTAATATAAATATATAATACAAAATTACATTAGACAAGAAACCAATAGAGCGATAAGACACAAAGATACAAAATGATTGATTAATATAACGATAATGGCATTGATAGATATCAGATTCAGAATAAGAAAGTTTTCATAAAGAGGAATGTTTTCTTTTCTTCCGAATTATTCTTTATTTTAAAATATTAAATAATTGCAATGTATATTATTTGGCACCTTATTATATCAGAGATAAATAATGAAACGTTTCGTGCCATGAATCGATTTAAAAAACGTCAACGAAATAATAATAATCGAGCGTTAGTGATATGATAGTATTTATAATATGGGATTGTGCAATGCATTATATATAAACGTACCTGTGCGCTACTGATTTGCTGAGAACACGCAGAGTTTGTTGGCATTAATGAATTTTAATGCTGTTCTCAGGAAAACAGTAGTAACCAAAGCATATTTATTGCTTTGCGAATGTACCTATAAAAAGTCAGCCAAATTTTTACACTTCAGAAAGGTACCTTATAAATCGTAGCGCTTAAGTCCTCATACACAATTTAAAATAATCACAATTTGTATACTACATTATTATAATCTAATGAAAATAAGAAAATAAGAAACAGATTAATGAAAATAAGAAATAGATTTTTATAAAAATTATATTTGTATCATTTGTGCCTCGAATTTTTATGTAAATCATTTACATAAAAGACAAAAGTGTTTCCATTGATATAATTTTACTAAAACATTATTGATAATATAATAGACAGAAATTTTTTGGCAATCGTACTTTGCTTATTGTGTTTCCTAAAAATTATTTATTCTATAAAATTTTATACTACTTACACACAAAATTTTGTGGTATATCTTATTAATAAGTTTCTTTAAGTGTATGATATAACATATTCATTTAAATAAATATAGATGCATGTAAAGTTAATCAAAAGTAGGAAGCTATATAATAGTGGTATTATATCTATATAATAAAATTATGAATAAATTATAATTAAATTAACTGCTAAGATATAGTTTTTTACTTTGATTGATTATTGGTCATGATTTTATAATACTCTTTATTATCCTTATTCAAAATTTTAAAGTATAACTTTTTAAAATAATTATATTATAAAAATCTGAAACAAGTCACAAAATATAAAAACTACAAAATGTAATTTTAAAAATTATGTAATGTCATTAAAGCTGTTTTGGAATATGTTAAATAATTCTTTTAAAATAAATAAAATATTTTTTAATTTTTGACTAATTTATTATTAAAATTAAGACGAAGAAATTATGACAAATAATTCTGATGACAATATTTTCTTTTAATTAAACTTATCTAAATAGGACGTATTATTTCAATGAAATTTTAAATAAATGATCTTGTTCGAAAAGATGTACAATATTAAAAATTAGCAAGCTAAGATAAATAATGAGATGAATTTTCTTAACGTTACTGCTAATTACTTTCAAAGGATCAATTTCAAATTGACCATAGAAACTATGGTTAAAAGGCAGTTCTAGAATATCCTGTATAGCACAAGCAGCATATCATCTGATTACTGGAAAAGCTGGTAAATGTATGTTAGACGAAAGCCCATCTATTAACTTTTCCCAGTAATTTTACCACGTGTACATTATAACATATAACAAAAGTAATAGTTTCCGCTTTAACAGAAATTCTTATTGATCTACGAGCATTAGTAGCTATTGAGCAACCATGGCTCGATATGGACAAAGCATAAATGCGTTCTCCAGTAAGCACGTAAAAAAAGTATAATTATCTTAAATTATTCATATAAAAAATATACTACGGCGCGCGGGCGTGTCTGGAGATATACATCGATGTCGACCGATGCCGTTGAACCGCAATTAACGCTAATTGTCTGACAGGCGTGTAAAGAAAAGATCTTCAGCCCATTCTAACCATTGTTAATTCCATGTTTTCACAACGGACAGGCTCCGATGATATCTGTGTTGCATCTACGGCAATTGCGGTACGGCAATTAGGCGCGAGGCATTAAACTGTTGAACGCTTGGGCACGAGCGCGAGCGACTCCGCACGCAGGGAAGAGATCGTGTTCATTACACACGGACATGCACCTTCGTTTCCATGACGCGCATCGGGAGGAATAGGCGCACCGGGCATAATGCGTGTGTTCTAGAGCGCATAAAAGTACGGCGGAAAAAGTATTGACAAATGATCCGCGGGCTCGATCCCGATCGGAGAACGATAACCGGAGGCTGCGAAGCACCGGAAGAGGAAATCATTCGGATCAATGACGGTTCCTAATAACACGACAAAACAATGCTCTTCTAAAGAGAGATCTTTCCTGTCAGTTGAAAGAAATACCTCCCGATGCATTTTGCAAAATTGCGATTACCACTCCTCTTCGATTAATGATACGCTTACAATCGGTTTCCCTCGAGCGGACTTGAAATAGGGCAACTCTGATTCCAATTGCGAACATTTTGTGAAACGTACGCCGCGAGTACAGCATCTCACCATTTCCGTATAATTGCGATTCCGCTGCTCGAATTCCATAGTAATGACGGGCGAGCGCGTCCCATGATACGCTGGACAATACCTTTTCAGGCGCATTAGCGTGTCGCGAATGAAAGTATCCTCTTGCAGCTGTGTGGTGTATAGGATAATATTTAGAACGATATTTTTCACTTGGCCACCGGACTGTATAAAGAAAATCGCGTATCTACTATATGGCTCAGTTCTCGCGTGGAGGTTCACCACGCGCGTTCTTTGAGATTACGAGACGACGAGGATACGGGAACGGATGGTTGTAACCAATGTGTACGCTTAGTACAGTGTGACGCACGGATTCCTTTTTTATTTGTATTTGATCTTTTGAGAAACTTCAAAAAGTCAAATCACGAAAATGATTTTTTATTATGTAAGTAATTTGATTGGAGTACATCGTGAAAGTGCAAAATTTATTTGTGTTGTGAAAAACAAAATCGATTGTTTAATTTTTGTGTGTAAATAAGAATAAATTTGATAGATTAAAAATTTTATATAAATGAATAAAGAGCATATTAAATTGCAATGTATATATTATATGTCGCATGATACTCTTGATTTAAGTGATAGATTTTCCTTGTGAAATAGTGTGGATTTTTTTTAAACATGTATAAAATATTTAGTGCATTTTCTCTTTTTTGTCTCTTTCCTTTTTTTTTTTTTTTACAAGTAAATTACACAGAAAATGAAATACATAGAGAAAGACAGCACATTAAAAGA